ATAGCTGCGGCGTGGCTCTATCAACACTTCGCTTATCGGTATGAAGCTCTTTATGAGAGCTCCGTATGGCAACCTAACTTTTGTATCGCTTGCCGGTTCTTCTAGCAAAATGGTCGATCAATATAATAAAAATACTAGGAACTAAATTTACTGAGTACTTCAAATTGCTTTGAATTTGCAATTCATCCGTATTTTATATTTATAGAACTTGATATCAAAACGCTAACATTTCTCTACTATTCTTACATGAAAGCATATAATTAATAAAAAATAAATAAAAAAACACAACAAATCAAAAAATGAAAAAAAAATGTTAAAAATCTTTAAAAATGTAGGCTATGGTAGTTTAAAAGTCATTGAATTGTTTCAGATGCTGTTTGAAGTACATACAAAGTGACAAACGAAACTCATTAACTACAACGAAAAATGTGAGTATACTAACACGTTATCCGGTAGTCGTCTAACTTAACGGCAGCTCCATGGCGCAGTGGCTTAGCAATGAGTTTCAGCGCTGAGGGCCGCGGGTTTGAATCATATATTTGTATAGCCTACAAGTAATTGTCCCGGATCTGGATGTTTGTCTTTGTGCAAATCATATATGTAAACTACCTCCAAGATAAAGAAGAAAATCCTAGTGTTGGGGTAACGTGTTTAAAATAAAAGAAAGAAACCTTTGCTGCAATCACTTACGTACAAAAAATGTCTATTAGCACAACATTTTAGCAATTATTGATAATTACTAGAGACCATTTGATTAAAAGTTTTTATGCTTTAAGGTTTTTATGGAGAAGTCATGCATGTGTGTCTATTTTATATTATGTTACCAGCCTCAATGAGAATATACACATGATTTTATTTTTCCACACATCTATAGCATAGTACCTTTCGAATGATATAAGTTTCATTCTCCTCTAATAATGAGTAATAAACACTAAAACGTTGAAAAACTTTCTATAATTTGATCATTTATTTGCTAGGAATAGTTTTACACGTAATTATATTGAAGAATAAGCGAAAGTAATAGAAATAATAATATACCCTACATAGTCTTACGAAATTTCTTACTTATCACAAGTAACAAGTTAAATAATATACTTAACTTTCTCATACTTTAAGTCTTTACCTTTCTCGCATTTTAAATGTTTACCTACATTGGGCTCATCGTTAATTATTCAGTATATTACTTTTGTAATTAAATGGATACTCAATTCCATTTAATTTGTTTAGGGAAAGTCGTTATTGAAGCCCGTAACGAAACAAGGTCTTTGACATTCTCATATTATTGATGTCAAAATAAAACGAGATCAAAACACACTTTTTGTTTTAATTAATATCTTTTTACACTATCAACCAACAAAGCGTCCTTGTAAGTCTAGTCATGAGTGTTATTTATTTTATCCTTTATTGTATTCCCTTTACCAAAAAAAAGTATAGGACGGTCTCCTTAAATATTTTACCAGTCAGACCTTTAAGTGTTGAAAATTTGACGTATAGAATATCCCTAAAATACGCACGCGGGTAAATAAACGTGGTAAATCACACTGTAGCTGCAAGAGGTTGAAGCACGAATGAGTCAGCTCGCCCGGGAAAAGACAACCTCTTACGGGAAACCAGTGTATAATAGCAGTATTTATATTTTGTATGATGAGTGACGAGAACTAGGGACTGTATTTACTGATAACGAGTCATTTCACCTTAGTCTTAAGGGGTTTAATTAGTATTTTTTTGTTTTTTATTTTTAAGTTAATTAGTATGGTATTTTGATAAAACGTATCTCTTTTTATAATTTAATTGGCGATGTTTATATGTACGATTTATGGGCAACAGCATGTACAAACTGTCAAGTTTATTTTAGTACTGTTTTTCCCCATTTCCAGTCTGGAAAGTTAGGGTTTAACCATCTTAAATTACTTTTTCATTGTCATACCACTACACAAGTCCACTACCGACCTTTCTACGAAGGAATGCACGAATATGACCCACCTGCATCTATCGACTTCCCGCTTATTGATATTCGATATTTATCTCCACCAATTAATGAAATTTTCGTCATCGGAAAACATTAAAACCAAAACTCGCAGTCTGATGATGTAAAGCAGCAACCCTCTCTTCCCCATTTCCATGCACGGTTGGTATGGCATAATCAAAAAACGCATAACAGGTCGTGAATTTAGAAATACTAAACATGATAACGTTAGAATTATTATTTATTATATGACGAGATGTCTACTTGCGCTATTTCATTAATAAGCACCTTTTGACAAATAAGGTGAATTTCAGTACTTTTACGCCCATGTCGACGGCTCCGTAGCGCAGTGGATTAGCAATGAAGTGCAGCGCTGGGGCCTGCGGGTTCGAATCCCGCACAGTACAAGTATTTGTATGGCCTACAAATAATTGGTCAGGATGTTTGTCCCCGTGTAATTCATGCTTGTAAACTGCCTCCACGATATAAGAAAAAATCCTAGGGTGGAGGTAACGTTTAAAAAAAATTACTGTAACCAACTAGGTATCATCGTTTACATCTTAACCCCCTCAATCCCGATAAAAATCCCATGCAACTACATACTTGAGTCCAATTTATCCCGAGCGGTCGCATGCGACCGCACCCACCCACAGCACTTTAAACCACTAAGACGTATATTTTCAGACTAATTTTCTAGGAAGTTTGGCATTGTAAAATCTATACAAAAATGTCTATCATGTGGTTTAAATAAAAGTAAGGTTTTATTTCACTATAAAAAGATTTTATTGTATTTTGATAACCAAAAATACATACCAAGCGGATGTCAGCAGCGTGAAAAATTATAATTATTTCCGACAAACTCGAATTTATTTAAAAATTACGTAAAAAGACAAATTATATCCACACCAAAAATTTTAATTAAAATTTAATATAAAACACTATCTAACACTAATAAAACACTAGAAAAATCCAAAAATCAACCCAATAACATTCACACGAAAATGGCGTAATGCCAAACTTAATCACAGAAAAGTAGTCTCTAAACATAAGTGTTTATGGGTTAAAGTGCTGTGGGTGGGTGCGGTCACATTTGAGCTCTTAAATTTTGACAGAATATCGAAGCGGTCAAATTTGGACGCTTGCTGTTTGAGAGGTTACCAGCTTGTAAAAGCCCACTGCTGGACATGAACCTCTTCCGTTATAGCGAGTGTTTGCATTAATAACCATTACGTTCAGCAGGTTGATAAACGATCGGAGTAACAAACGTCTCGTACTTTTGACGCTGAAGCATATTACCAGCCACAGTATTTTACGCCTGGAATAAACGAGATAGTTATACCGCTATCTATCGGGACCCATAAACTTATTCTCATACTACCCAAAGGCGCCTCTTATTTATTTACTTACTTGATTGAAAAACTATTGTGGCTAACATAAAATCCAATACGAAAGAAAAAACAACGCATACAACAATTTTACATGCAAAAAAATTAAAAATTTGCATCCATTTACATCAACGAAAATAATATAAGCTAATGATTAAAATAATATAAGACCTCAAAGCTTTTAGCAGCCCGTTTCAAGAAATTAAAATAGTAGTGAAGCCAACCGAAACAATAAAATATTAATAATTGAACAATAATTAAAAAAAAGAGAAAGGTCGCAATCGTACAATATCAAGCCATGAAATATTTTGTCATATTAATTTATAATGCAATGTCAATAAAAACTTATTACAATCCTAATATGGCAACTATTAAAATTAAATCGAATATGTAAAAATTTATGCTTGTAGGTTTGTATCTCATGCCCCGCCATACTGTTCATCAGATTGTACTACAACTTTGTTAACTTATTGCTTGCACTTGTTTGAAGGTTATAGGCATAATACAATTAATAACTAAGTGCAATTGGAGTTGATGGCGCGCGCAATATACCGACAAACTTATTTAAACTGGTACGAATTTAAAATAATATTTTCTTTTACGGCAGTAATATGCTGGCTACCAGCTATTCTTAAATATAAAGTAACAAATAGTACATAGTCAGAAAATAAAATTTAAAAAAAAAATTAAAATTAAAAATTGTTTATTGCGTTTCAAAAGGTAGTAACAAACAAGTGGCAAGGGCCCCTGTACTGGGTTAGTAAAACCTGTGGTACGGTGCAATTGTCGAATTATTAATCATGTCACACATAATTTTTAATCTTATGACACCTACAGAACGAAATGGGGTGATCATGTGAGTGTTATATAACATTTGTGACATTCACTGCGTCACTGGTCCAGTGATCGTTACCGCCACTACTGATTAAGAGGTCCCGAGTTCGAATCCTTGGTCATGCTAAAATCAGTAATTGAGTTTTTCTGTCAAAAAATTCTCAGTAAGAATCCGAAGTCAGTAAGTTGGCAGTTTCTCACCCCCGTGCCGCGGAAAAAATGTCAAGTCTTTGGCCTTGCGTCTGATCTCTCTCTAGGCGTACACTCGGGCACTATAAACTTATCGAGCGCCAATGGCTAGTCTACGTTGAGCCTGGTCGCCGCGAAATTCAGATTTTTTGTATTTGAGTTTAATGTATTATTTTTCTTCATTTGCAGGTAATATTGACTTCTAAGCTGCATCGAATCAACAAGAACAGAACAAAATGGAGTTAGAAGACGTAGAAATGTATGGACATAACAACTACTCTTTTGGTGAAAATAGAACATTGAATGGAACCTACGAAAACTGTCCTAATATTAATCTTCCGATTGTTTATGTTGTGACACAAATATTGTACGCTCTAGTATGTGTGGTGGGACTACTGGGCAATACGTTGGTAATTTACGTCGTACTCCGTTATTCAAAGATGCAAACGGTAACCAATATGTACATCGTCAATTTAGCAATCGCAGATGAGTGTTTTCTAATAGGCATACCATTTCTTATAATAACAATGTCAGTCCGCTCCTGGCCGTTCGGAAGTTTTATGTGTAAAGCATATATGATTTCGACCGGTATAAATCAATTCACAAGTAGCATATTTCTGTGCATTATGAGCGCAGATAGATATATAGCAGTGTGCCATCCGATAGCAGCACCAAGGCTGCGCACACCGTTCGTTTCAAGAGTTGTATCTGCTGCTGCATGGACTGCATCGGCCTTAGTAATGACACCCATATTCATGTATACCACACTAATACATACTGAAAATGGACTCTCTTGTAATATTGTGTGGCCGGAACAAGAATTTGCTAAAGGCCAAGCTTCATTCACTCTTTACTCCTTTGCTCTGGGTTTCGCCGCCCCGCTCACCCTTATCTTCGTCTTTTACTGTCTGGTCATCCGTAAGCTTAAAAATGTGGGTCCTAAAAATAAGTCTAAAGAAAAGAAACGTTCACATAGAAAGGTTACCAAATTGGTATTAACTGTAATAGCTGTATACGTGTTATGCTGGCTGCCATATTGGGCATTTCAAGTCGCTCTCATTTACTCTCCCCCTACAGAGTGTGCCAGTAGGATTACCATCACAGTATTTTTGGTTGCAGCCTGCTTCAGTTACAGCAACTCTGCTATGAATCCCATTCTGTATGCATTTTTGTCAGATAATTTCAAGAAGAGCTTTTTAAAGGCGTGCACTTGTGCTGCTGGAAAAGATGTAAACGCTACACTTCACGTAGAGAACAGCGTAATACCGAGAAAGAAAGGTGCTGCAATAGCTCGTGCGCAGGCCAGAGCTGCAGATGAAACAAGAGGATTGACGGCACCAGTTGGTGGAGCTGGTGGTTCCAGATCTGAAGCGTCTACAGCCGTAACTTCTCGTTCTGCAGTTGTTAGTGAAGCGATGCCGTTGGAAGTTAGGCCTGGATCATTAACTCCATTGATAGCTCCCAACGGTATATCGCATTCACGTCTCTGAGTGCGGGCCTCTCGCCGCCGGCGCGAGCGACCAAGTGCCATGCTTGAAGAAGACACTTTAATCGTTTCCATCGATTAGGAATATAAAGACTGTACAAATTCGATTCAGACAGTTGCGGGACATGAGCCCTGTCCCGCATACTGTTGGGCTCTTACCGGGTCAGAATTAACTCACTTAGATATAATATTATAAATGTTTATCTTACAATACGGAATTAATTGGGATCGAGCGCAAGGTTTTAATTATAACGAAATTGTGGATAACTTCAAAACAAATATAGTTTCGGCCTAGGGTTGTAACGATGAATTTACTAACGTAGTTAGGTTTTTATCACATAGTGAATAAGGTTACTATTTGTATACCAGTAATTATGATAACCTTGTAAAAATGTACATATCGTGTAAATAATCACAAAAATGTCATAATGTTTGAATAAAGTTATATTGACGTATCAGTGATTTTTAGTTTTATTTACCTTTAAAGAAACAATTCCTCAAAAATCGGAATAATTTGAACAAGGATATCATTAACACATTTATAGCGTCACACCTCTAATCCCCGAGGTGGTAGATAAAGTCCAAAGAGCATGCTACTTAGACCTCGTTTAGCCAAAATATGGGTTTTAAATAGCAAAATATGGAAGAAATTAATTAACTGGCTAGCATACTGCTTGCATAATCAGAAACAAATTCATTTTACGAAATGCTAGGCAATTATCAAAGTTGGCACATTCGTTTTTGTTATTAATAACACATAAAGATGGAACCTACGAGTTTTGCGCCAATATGGGATGATAATTACAGTATATTATAGTAGATATATAAGTATCCGGCGTCCGTTACAGCCCATGTAAGTCCACTGTTAAACATTGGCGTCCCCCTTTGATTGCATCATAGGGGGATTTCGCCTTAGCTGTCACGCTTGGCAGTCAGGTTGACAATCACAGTTTTCGTTCTTTTTCGTTCCTTTTGTCGCCTCTTACGATACCCACGGGATAATGTGGAGTAGTGGGTATTATTACACCGCCACTACGAGTACACGGTACAAAAATAAATATATAAAAATAATTTGGTTAATTAAAAGGGACCAAGGATTCATAAGCGTGGCAATATTCAATGAAATGAAATGAAATAAAATGAATTATTTTTATTCAATATGGAATATTGCATAACACTTACTGAAAGTGGATTTTTTATTTACCACTGGTTCGGAAAATAAACCTTTATCCTGGGAAAACCAGCAAGAAATCCTTATAATAACCCTTTTCTACAATTTCTCTTTAATAAAACATTTAAACTTGTTTAATTCAAGTTTTGTACATTTTTTGGGATTTTGTTGTAAAAACGTATACACTGCCCCATATGGGGGATGAGTCGCTCGCGTCCGTAGGCTCCGACCACCTAACCTTAGGCCCACCCTACACGTGTCCCCCGGGTGGTGCTAAACGAGCGACAAAGCCGAAAAAAATAGACTCGGCTCCTCGCCGTATGGTAGCGGCGTAAAATCTACCACCACCCCTTGTTCGAATGACTCAGGAAATAAAAGAAATGGCCCCGAGTTCCCGGCGCCCCTTAAATGGGGCAGGGGTGCGAAGAATCTCCGGGAGAAAAAACCGGCGACGAGGTTCGCCACCCGTCACGTTCTGTCTCCCGGAGGGGCGAAAAGTGGATTGCGGAAACCCGTCTGGCTACGCTGAATGTATGTGGCGGAATGAATGATAAGATGGATGAAGTATGCGAAATGATGAATGACAGAGGAGTAGATGTGTTATGTGTGAATGAGACGAAACGAAAGGGAAAGGATGCCACTGCACATGGCACGTATACCGCGTATTGGTCTGGTGTAGGCGAGACCGAACGGGCGTGCCAGGGAGTCGGTTTCATCCTTTCAGAAAGAATGGGTCAATGTGTGAAAGAGTATGAATGTGTAAGCCCGAGACTGCTATGGATACGAATGAAAGTGGGCTTAAAGAAGCTGTTCCTGCTAGGGGTGTACGCCCCAGACATGTCTAAGCCCGCTTACATTCGAGAGCAGTTTTGGGACATGGTAAGGATGGTGTTGACAAAATGTAAGGAAAATGAAAATATTATTATGTTAGGAGACTTTAATGGAAGGGTTGGGGTGAAGAGGTCTGGTTATGAAAGGATATTGGGAACGTTTGGTGATGAAAGTATAAATGAGAATGGTGAAGACCTCCTCACCGTATGTGCGGAAAAGAATCTTTTTGTGACGAATACTTTTTTTCGTCATAAGAAGATTCACATGTATACATGGGAAAGAGGTGATGATAGAAGCATGATAGATTTCGTAATTGTGGATGAAAGAATGAGGAGCGCAGTCGTAGATACAAGGGTTTACCGGGGGTCCAACGTAGGGACGGATCATTACTTGGTCTTATGTCGAATTAATGGTCTTTTCAAGCGTTGGCGGCATCGGACATCTGTGTCTACCACTGCGTTACAGCGTATAAGAATAGAGAAGTTACAAGATGAAGATGTGAAAGAGAAGTATAAATGTAGACTGAAAGAAAATATAAGATGTTTCAATGAGTTGTGTATGAATGATTTAGACTTGAAGACTGTGTGGGATAATATTAAGAAAGGTTTGGTGGACACCGCCACCGAAGTATGTGGTGTAAGTAAAAGAACAAATGAAAGGAAAAGTAATACGTTGTGGTGGGATGATGAGGTACGGGTGGAAGTTGAATCAAAGAAGAAAGCATGGTTAGATTTACTAGCAACCAAAGCTGGTAATTCTTCTGGTATGAATGATGAGATTGAAAGAAAAAAGGCAGAATTTAGACGTCTAAATAAGAGAGTAAAAGAAGTTGTTGAAAGGAAAAAGAAAGAAAGAATGGATAAGAATGATAGAAGGATATCTGATAATTTCCAGGCTAACATAAAAATGTTCTGGAAACTCGTAAGAACTGCCAGGGGAAATACAAAACAGCCTATAATAAATGCTATAAGAGACGAGAATGGATGTATTCTGAATGATGAAGTTTCGATTTTAAACAGATGGAAGGAATACTTTGAAAGCGTGTTTATGAGTGAAGAGTCGTATGAATTAAATGAACTAGAAATTCCGAAAGAAGTGGAAAGGGGTATGGAGATAAGTGTAGATGAAATAATGAAAGCAATGAAAAGCATGAAAGCAGGTAAGGCAGCTGGATATGATAGAGTATCACTCGAGATGCTAAGGGCTGGAGAGGGAGTGGTGGCAGGCCTGCTGTACACCTTGTTTAATTTATGTTGGGAATTAAAACGGGTACCGGATGACTGGTGTAAAGCAGTTATAGTACCAATATATAAAGGAAAAGGGTCACAGCAGGACTGCAAAAACTACCGCGGTATCAGCTTGCTTAGTATTGTGGGTAAACTGTATGCTAAGGTGTTAATTGAAAGAGTTATGAAAGAAACTGATGGAAAAATTTGGGATGTGCAAGCGGGTTTTAGAAAGGGAATGGGGTGCACAGATCAAGTCTTTTCCATGCGCATGATTGCGGAGAAGTTTTTGGCCAAAAACCAGAAAGTTTTTTGTGCGTTCATGGACTTGGAAAAGGCTTATGACAGAGTGGACAGGAATGTGTTATGGCAAACACTGAACTCATATGGGTTGAGCGCTGGTTTGATACAGGCATTAGGGTCCCTTTATAGGGACTCTAGTGCTTGTGTCAGGATCAATGGGGTCTACTCGGACTGGTTTGGCATCCAAAAAGGTGTCAGACAGGGCTGTGTAGCTTCCCCTTGGCTGTTCAACCTATTTATGGACCGGTGTTTGCAAACTTTGAAAGATGAAGAATGTGGTTTAAGAATGGGCGAGTTAACCGTCAAATGCCTTTTGTATGCCGATGATCAAGTCATATTTGCATCATCAGCGGCTGAGTTGCAAATGATGGTTACATTAATGAACTGGGAATTAAAAGAAAGGGGGAATGAAAGTGAACGCAAATAAGACGAAAGTGATGGTTTTTGAAAGAGAAGAAAGCAAAACGGTATGTGAAATAAGAATAGAAGGAGAGTTAATTGAGCAAGTGGATGAGTTTGTGTATTTGGGATGTGTATTTAGCAGGGATGGTAGATATGATAGGGATATAGAACGACGAGTAAATGCAGGGAATAGAGTGAATGGGGCACTACACTCTATTATGAAGAACCAGAATGTGTCAAAACAGGCACGTATGGTAATTCATAATGCTGTGTTAGTCCCTACGTTAATGTATGGTAGTGAAAGCTGGGTGTGGCAGAAGAAGCACGAAAGTAGAATAAATGCTGTAGAAATGCGTTCTTTAAGAAATATGCTAGGGTTTAATCTGAATGACAGGGTGAGAAATTGCGTGATAAGAGATAAATGTGGTATGCAAGATGATGTTGTGACCAGGATTAAGAAAGGAATGCTTCGGTGGTTTGGTCACGTAGAAAGAATGAATGATGAAAGAGTGACAAAGCAGATGTGAACGGCCGAGTCGGGAAGGGACGCCCTAGAAAAAAGTTTGTCGACCAAATTGGCGATATTTTGAAAATGGGCCACGTTAGAAGTACCCTTAACCGACGAGCATGTATGCGTAGATATATGGATGTAAAGGAGGCGAAAGAGGTATGTCAGGATCGTGCCAAATGGAAGTCCGTAATCTCTGCCTACCCCTCTGGGTGACAGGCGTGAGTGTTTATGTTATGTTATGTTACTGCCCCATAAATAAATTACTAATGTAATAAGTACACATAAAATTTCGGTAGACAAACTGCAATTATTACCCATAGAAGTTTACACTTGAACACGGATTTCTATTTAAATTTAAAAATAATCCTAATTTCCATAGAGGGGATTGCTTTATGCTACCATCTGCCTAGGATCCTATAACTAATGAAATCAAATCTCAGTTTCATCATCATGACAGCTTTTAACAAATCCTTTGCACATCTTCTGAACATAGGCCTTTTCAAAGAAATGCCACTAAGCACCTGTCCTGAGCCACCTGCATCTATGGACTTTCTGCATGT